CAGAGATCCCAGGGGGAGCATTAGGGTTGCAACAGCAGCCTCCCAAGCTGGAGCTGCTGCACTACCACCCCTCAGGAACGCCCTGGGGCCATGTTCACTACGCAAGGGGCTAGTGGCGACCCCTCAGACCCAGTGCTGCCTGCCCCAGCTGCCACCGCGCCTCCTCAGGCTGAGCCAGCCCTGCCTCAGGAAAGGGCCAGGTCCTGCGCGGCCCCAGCACCATGGGTGGGAGGTGGAAGGGCGCAGCGCACCCAGTGCAGGCCCCCCACACTGGGACTGGTCTCCCACTGCCCCTGGGGTGACCTGGGGAGGGCCCAGGCCAGTAGTGTGGAGGAACTTCTTGGTTCCCACTGCTCTTTCTCCTTAAGAAAGGAGTTGATGCTTTGCTAACCCCCCTTGTCCCCTTCATTACAGTACTGGTACCCTATAAAATGAGTTTCAGCGCAGTCTTGGAAGGGGAAAAGTGTGACTTGGAGTGCAGGTCTCATGGTTCTGGCTGGCAAATGAGACAGAGGTTCATGGGGAGGAAAGGTTGAAAAAGCCATTTAAAAGCTGTTTTATAGATCTGAATGTGACACAACATTTTGTCCAGCCTCTTTTCTGTGGTTCCAGAGTCAGTCCTTCTGGGACTCCTGCACCACTACATTGAAGAAGGAATTTAAAAGAAATCTTGTCCGAGTTCTGGGAATTGGCCCAAATGTGTGTTTGTGTCAGGGACTGTGGTCTGGGCCTTTAGGGAGCAACCTGAAAAACTCTTGCTTATAAATGCAGAAGTTGTTTTCCTCTGCCTCCGACTAAAACAAGGCCATGTTCCTGCGAGCGTCCTGGGCCATGAACTTACCACTTCAGCAGGGGTGTTTTTTCACACTGATTAGTAGCATAATGATGACCCTTTGAGAGTATTATTACAGTGCTTTATTTTGTTATAATTTAAAAACCTTTATTCCACCCTTGTATTTTTTTGGTGACAATGCATATGGGAGTCAACATCCCAGTGTGAGATGTTTACATGATCCCTACCTACCCCATTAGAAGATACCCCATATCTGTTTAGGTGGAATGTGTGCTGGAGAAGGCTATAATTTTTTTGATAGTTTCAGGTGATCATGAACAGTCAGCGTAGCATCATTAGAGGGACACACAGCCAGGAATAGGCAGTCTTCTAGCATTACAAGTTGATGCACACAAGCATCCATCCAGAAGCACCATGTACTCCATGCTGAGTGCTGTTTGTGGCTCATCTGTTTCTAATATTCTTAACGACACTAAGTGTACACACCTGATGTAAACTTTTATCAGGCTATTCAATAATGGAAAGTCCCTTGTTTGCCTAACATATTTGTGTTCTTCCAGGCATTTCTATTCCACAAGAACATGCCGCCTGGGTACTCCCAAGGGGGAATTTCCTTCCTGATAAACAATTCTGTAGTGATTCACCAGGAAGGATGCTGTGGTTAAGGCACTGGATTGGGACTCAGGCAACTGGGGTTCTATTCTCAGTTCTACCACAATCAAGATGTAATAATGAATGGGTTGATGAGCAAATATGGGGGTGGAGAAGTGTTACTAAAATACAAACATGTTTTTGGATTAACTGTTTCCTCCTGTTTGGAGGCTATGTAGATTGTTTTTGTTTCTGTTTTTGTTAGTGGAGACGAATAAACTGATAACATCCAAGATGAGGCCTGAACTGACACTGAGTGAAGTATGAACCTAAAAGTTAATGTTGGTAATTGTAAAGTCAATCTGCTGCATTGACCATGTGGGAATAATTGGTATAATGTGCTCAGGTGACAGTGTCCAGTCTTACTTAGTTGGCTGATTTAATAAGTCCTCACTTAAGGGCTCATGCCTTTCAAAATGTGCTGCAGTTTCTATGAGAAATCAGATGCCAAACTCCTTTTTCCCCTACCTTGCTGAGGATCAAATGTGTCCCTTTGTATGGTCTGCAGATTTGCTATTTTCTTTGTCACAGCTTATAACGTTCCCATGGGGTAACTCTCCATTTTTTTTTCCTTTTAGAATTGAGAGCTCTGGCTACAGATCTTTAGCTCAACTTAATACTGTGTCTGTCTAGAAAAGATGAATCAGGAGAGCAACCCGAGCGAACTACCTGGTGGTGAGTTTTCAGTCTATGTAGGCACTCAACTTGTTTTCAGATTAGTGATTGTCCATGTGATTTGCTTTGTATTTATTTTGCCTGTTTATATAGTATCAGGAAATTAAACCACAAAGAGAAATAAAACAAAGAGGGTGATTCCTGTGCTGAATCAACCAAAAGCATTTTACACTGTGCCTTGAAGGTGACTGTAGTCAGATGTCAAAATTCTGGAAATTAAACTCTGATTTTAAAAATTGATTATGGCAAATGTTTTAATAGCCCCCACCTACTCACAAGAATACTAATTTTAATTAAAATGTATTACACAATTCCTTAGTCAGGTATTATCCATAAACTATTCTTTTTTCTGTTAGTCATTTGCCAACAATTAGTAGCCTTCTAATACAAAGGTATCTCTTTTACCTTATGAGCTAAAGGTGTATATATAAACAGTGGTGTAATGACCCATAAAGGCCTAGCTTTATACTCCTTGGCCTGCCCTAAGATTCATCACAAATCTCTTGCTCAATTCATTATTGATGAACTTCTGTAGTGTGGTGTAGTCATCCAAGCCTGCTAATGCCACATCTCTCAGCAGCCTCTACAGCAGAAGGAAGCTTGAGAGCCTCATATCCCAAAAGCAGTGCCTGCAAATTCCAGGCTCCTGTTCAGCTATGCACTTGTTTTGACTTGTAAAGAGCCATTCTCATTCTGATGTGAGAGCTGTTTTTTTGTGCTTTCCATTGTTCCCTGTTCTTTGGTTTTGGGCAAGGTTTTTTTTGTCTGATTGCTCTTTTTTTCCTTTTTTTAAATAAGTAGAGGTGGTCAGTTTACTTGCTATTCTGTTTCTTGTCTTGTGAGAAGTAGTGAGAGTCCATTTCTTTGGTTTTGGCTTTGGTTTGGTGGGGGTTGTCTAATTTTTTCTACAATTTTAATTCATTATGGTAGTGTTGAGATGGACCCTCCTGGAAATAAGTTGCTGATGGTCCTCAGCACAGTTCCAGCGGGCAGACCTGCTCTGAGCAGGGTATGTTGACACGGTGCTTCAGACTATGGAAGCTTCCTAACCCAGCGCTCGCGGCATAACTGTTGGCAGAGAAATTGAACAGGTGGTAGCAACGCTAAAAAATCCCTCTGTAGTATTTAAGAACAGCGAGTTCTGCTTTTAACTCTTTAGTGCTTTGTGTATTTTTTGTCGTTGTTATGACTGAAAGATAGGTTCATGGCAAGAAACTGTGGGGTTGGGCAAATCAGCAGTGTGAGGGGACAGTCCAGCATTTTTGAAGTGTTAGAATGACATTCGGTGGGAGGCTTTGTAAGCAAACCTTAGTGGTGCCCATGAGAGAAGGGTGGAGCAGAGGTCGAGCATACTCAGATTATTTATTGAGCCAATAGCTCTGCAAGATTTAAAAAGGGATGGGGATGCTCACAGGGATATCAAGAACACACAAAGTTACCAGAATGAATGCAACATTTGGGAAAGGATATTAAAACTCATATTTCAAGGCTTGGGCTTGACCCAGGCTCTAATAAACAAACATCAGGATGAAACCCTCTTCAGGAACAGATGGTCCCACATACGCGTTCTGCCAGGTTTTATGCCTTCACTCAAGCATCTGGTACAGGCCAGAGTCCGGCGGTAGGACACCAGGCTATAGGGTCTCAGCATCATTTATAGTAATTTCTGTGGGTTGCCATCTGTGCTGTAAATAAAGTTGACCCTCTCTTTGGACGTCTCTGATACACAATCTCCATTTGTTTAGCTTCCAACACCTAACTTGGCTTCTTGTAACTTTGAGGAGAACCTCAATACAGTTCATTGTCTGAGCCTCACTAAGCCTACCACTTTGCTAGGAGTCAGAGAGGAAGGATACTTTAATCTTGTGAAAGATTAAACTATTTTTACTGTAATCCAGCTGGAAGGGTAGCACTTTTCTCAGGGTATGAGACAGCCAAGTTTTTTTCCCATTCTCTCCTCCCCTCGTATACAGGAAGGAAGTCCTGGCAAGGGCCCCCTTAGCTTCCTGTCGACTTCTGAGCACATTTCCAGACACAGCCTTCTCCACCATCCATCACCCAGCTCAGCAAAACAATTACTGCAGTGCGACGGGAAAAACACACGTTTCACATAAACACGTTGGAGGGTGTACGATCGCAAACCACTAGAATTCACACACAAGCCAGATTTATCTATGAGCTGCATCTGACAGGAGATTATTCAATTCTTTCTTCCTTTCCCTTTGGAACCAAATGTCCCAGCCACTAAAATTCTTCTTTAAATGAGGCTTATAACCAAATGTCTCAGCCACTAAAATTCTTCTTTAAATGAGGCTTAAAAATTAAAATCAGACCTTCCAATGTTTATTAAAGTAGCCACTGCATTGGCAAAAGTCAACAAAATGTATACAGCCTTAGGCCAAGAAAATGACTAAGGCTGGTTTCTGCTGTGAAACACTAGAGAGGTGATGTGTTTGCCACGGGGGAAGATGTAAACTGTTCAGTCTCACATTACTCAGAGAGAGGTCCTTGCCAGAAGATCAGACAGTAAGTATGATGAGATCCAGAACAAGGCAGTTATGAGACCCAGGGTTTAAAGTTGAATATCTGACCATAGAATGGTTTAGGTATAGTTGATCTTGCCTTTGGGCAGGACTTGAGATGACTTCTTAAGATCCCCTCCAGCCCTATTTTCTGTTTCAGTTCTGATATGGTTGATATATGGCACCTTAAAGGAGAAAAGAAATAACATGGCAGAGACATGCCTTGAATTTAGCCTTACCTGTCCTGAGGATGACTGCCGCATCTCTTCGTAGAAAGGGGTGGAGGAAGCAATTCACTACCACTTCTGCATTAAAGGTGTATATTTCCAATGATTGTCTCAGAAATTGATTTGTAACATTCAGACAGTATTCTTGGTACTATTTCCTTTGTAATCTGTCAGGCATTTTTTTAAGCCAAAAGCTACTTTTGCATTACTTTTTATTAGCCTAGTGTTCCCATTTGCTTTGTACCATGGGAGTTTCATCCTGCTATGGATGCCTGTATCCTTGCCTGCACTGTTCTGTTGTAGAGCTTTGATGAGAGATTGCCAGGAACATCCCACAAAGTGATTGTATGACACTGTTGTACAAGAGTGTAGGTCAGGATGTCAGTGCCACTGAAAAATGTAGAAAAGTTAGGTGCCTATATACCTGTTAGTGCAAACTGCATCTCTAAATGAAAGTGATATTTAATCAAGCATAACAGTTGGGTGTTCAGAAAAAACAGGAAAGTTTGGCTACATCTAAGGTTAGAAGAAAGCTACTTTTAAATATGCTAAAGCTGCCTTTTTCACACAGAAGAATAGGCCCCCAGGTCTGAGCACCTGCTGCAAATGTTCCCAGAAATAAAGCTTAACCTGCTTTACTGTATCCTCCCTGTTTTGGCCCCCAGCCATGTCTATCTAAGAAACTATCCTTGGGTTCTTCATGCTAAGGTGCTCTTTTCTGATTATTTATGTCAGCTGCGGAAGAACTTGTCTGTACTTTTGAGTGGAATTGTGCAAACGACATTTGAGGGCTGTCGACTTTTGGGTGACTTAGCTAGTACCCTTGCTGCAAAAAGGGCAGGTCCCAAGTCATGATAAACCAAGGTAACTACTCCAGGGATGCTCCTGGATGCAGCTTCCAAGGCCTCTGTTTCTGACATGCTTGAGGCAGTGTGGTGGGTGGTGAGGGATATTCTTGGAGCGTGCTTACTGCTTCAATTCTGAGTTTGGAGCATGTTGAGCAGAAGCAGTTTGGCGGGGGCTTATTTTTCAGTGGTAGCCTAAAGAGTAACTTAGAATGAGTGTTGATTAAACATGGGCATAACATCTTTCCAAAGCCAGGTCAGAGGTTTTTTAGTTTGAACAGTACAAGATTTCAGATTAACTGTGCAATGAGATCATACCCCAAAACTTTAACATTTGTTTTTAGTGAAGTAGAAAAAGACTTCTACTGGACCGCCCAATTAAATTCACTGATGGCCTTTTTGCTGGCTGGAGTGGACGCTCCGTAATTTCACGAAGTTGTTTGAATTGCTCTCTCTGAAAGAGTGATCGTAATTAAAATGCTTTGGTGCAGTTCATTGTATGACTGGCAATAATAATATTGTCTTAAGGCTAAAATTTGGCTAAATAAGGCAAAAACTTGAATTCATGCTGTAACTGCTATAAGCAGAAAACCAATTTGTTCTTTTTAATGAGCCAGATTTTGTGTTAGGACTTGGGGAAGGAAGTTTATGAAGGGCATGAAGAAGCAAGATCACATAAAAGCCTTGTGATAGGTTATTGAAACCTGCCACTCCAGGAGAATCCTGCTGCTTCAACACAGTGGCTTACCTGTTTACCTTTAAAAAAAACGCTCCTCTTTCTTCTAGATGAGGCGCTCAAGTCTTCTTTTAAACAATAGTAAAAATAAAATTAAAAGACATGCAGCTTTGGAAAGCTGCAAGACTAGCTCAGTGATACTTAACTGCACATAACTAGTCTTTTTAGCTCTGTGTGCCCATCACTGCTGTTAACTGCTTTCCTCTTTTTCTGTGTTTCATCTCCTTACTGTGTGTTATTTTATATAGTAAGGTTTAGGGGAGTTAGATGCCTTTACAATTTTGGCTCTAAACTCTTCTGGGAAAAGATTATCTCTTGCTACTCTGAGCATGTGTAGCATCCTACACCATACAGCCCTTGTCCTGATGTAGTTTTTGTAAGTGATGCTGCAATATGAATGATAATATAAGAATAATTATATAATTCTAAAACTCTCATAAAATACAAATAGATGATTCTGGTAAAAGAGGACAGTGAGCAATAAGAGGCAACATGGACCATGAATGGGGAATGTACACATGTGTGCATGATCAATATAGTATCAATAACATATTATAAAAAGGAGCAGCTTTGAATTGCAAAAGAAATCTGGGAGAAAACTGATTTTGAGCTCTCTGGGTGGGGTGGCTTCCACCAGTGTTCCAGTAACTGTGGCTGCCTGGGAGTTGAA